GTTACGAAATCGCAATGACAATTTAACAAGCATCAATAAGTTACTTGTGTAACTCAGTTATCCCAAAAATTCATAATTTTTGGTTGGTCAAAATTATGAATCAGATAGATAATTTTGGTGGTAAACTTGTAAAAAAAATTAAATTGATATTTTATGAGATCTGATCAAAATAGTCTTCGTAGTTTTGATAAGAAAATTCTTAGTTAGAATTTGATTACATTACATGGCATGATCACAACGGGAATTGAGGAGAGCTTTGTTGAGACAATTGAAAGCATCGATGTAGGAGACAAAGCCCATGAACCAAAACTCAAACCCATCTCGTGTCACCATATGCACGTATCTCTCACTTGGCTTCAACACGTTCGTTGATGAACTAATGCTACTTATCTTCTCCCACTCCATCACCACCTATCAATATACAACATTATAATATCACTAAAACCAAAAAAAACATTATAATATCACATATAATTGTTATTATTGCTCAATATATTATATAGTCACTAATCTTTAGAAACCAAATTATCATTTAGTTATTGTAAAAAATGAAAACAAATATTTCACAAAGAACAATTCTTGTTACCAACTTAGATTTTTTTTTATAAGTATGAACCAAACTTCTATAACAAAAAATATTGTTTGAAACTCATGGTCTAACCTTGTAATATGCCGCAACACCGTTTCCACCGGCAGAAGAAGGAAGACGAATGGCATAGTCGCTACAAAAAGCGATTCTTCTGTTGGAAATGTATATCACTCCGGTCACTGGTCCCGAAGTAGTCGATATGTAGCAAACAAACGAATCTAAAAGTTTCTCTACAGCTAAAACACCAAACTCTCGTTGAAACACTCTCTCTGGTCCTCCTTCAACGATCATCTTAGTGCCTTGAGAAAGCCTAGCCATTGCTGCATCACTTATGCTAGGACTAAACTTCACTGTTCATGCCCGGTTTCATGCATAGACCATATGTAAAAAAATGTTTTAGGGATCGATTAAGAAGACAACATGTGTAAAATATAAACTCTCACGTACGGTGGTCTTTTAAACCTCCGACTAATGCTTCCGCTTTGCGAGTAGCGTCCTCTACTTTCTTCCCACAGCGATTCAACACCTCAAGAACCTTATCCTTCGACCCTACATGTATCATATATCAATCAAGATTTATCATAAGCATAATTAAGACACGAACAATCATTTTTTAGACTTACTCTTATCAGAAGCTGATGTGGGACTAGTAATGTGGACGTAAGGATTATTATAACGACCGCCATGGCTGTTGGTTTCGTGCTTGGCCGTCGAGTCTAATTTATCGTTCACGTCTTTGTATTGTGGACGCATGATATTAGACCTAATGATGATGATGCATGGTGATGGAGAAGACGATAAATGAGGTTGATATAGAGAGAGGCCCGTGGGTTGTACGCGATGGGACCTTTATTCGAATTGCTTTTAAGGATTCGGATAACGATGTTTGATTCTCCATGGATGGTGTCAAGGTATTATAATTATGCCTTTGATGATGATATTATTTCTATTATATCTTGCTGGAATATAACGAGTAACGTATTTGGACTTTTACATTTGAATAATGTTAAATTCAACGTACACGTAATGACGATTTTTAACAGATATATTTACCATATAAATGGATTTTTTCATTATAAATCCGAAACATATTATGTATATTAATATTTGTGGAAAAGAAACATATTTAACTCCCTATCGTTGTAAATTTCGAGTAAAAGTGGCAAATTTTGATTAGGTAAAAGAAAAAGTGAAAAAGTTGAATTTTTTATTGGAACAAATGGAGTGAATTGATTGGTTTGTTAAGATTTTTGATTTTAATTTTCATATCAAAATTTCATCATTTTCATACTCTATAAATACAAAGTTTTTTTTATTTGTTTTGAATACATAGGAAAAAATCTAGCTTGTTACCTTTTTAATTATTTTATAAAATTATTAATATTTTACTTATTTTATTCTAGTTTTGATTGATAATTAATTTTTATTGATAATATGTAATCATAATAAATAAAAAACATAAAGAAAACAAAATATATGAAATAAAAGTGATAAAATAGGGTATTGTAATTTTGTTAAACAAAACCATTGTAGATAGTAAAAGATTAAGTGATTGTCATATTATGATGTGAAAGAGAGATAAGATGATGTGGAGGGTTAAAAGGTAAAAAGAGAGTGTTGAAATACTGTAACCAATGTACATAGTCTTAGTAAAAGAAAAATTTAGATTTTACTGTAATAGTTTTATAAATTCTATTACTACTACTCATAAGAGGTTAAACAAAGATTAAATTTTCAACTCATAATTCTTAACAATTTATAAAACTATAACGCAGAACATAAACGCAGTTGTTAATTCTAGGAGAGAAAAAAAACAGATTAGTAAGTGCAAATTTTCGCGATGGGCCTTAGGCCGATTGTTTTATCTTCAAGAAATACCCATTAAAAGGTTAATATTTACGAAATCTGCCACTGCTCGTAAGACTGTAATCTTCCTTATTCTTCGTCCTGCAGATCCATGTATGAAACTTCCCCTGAACCCTAATTTAGCTATCGAATTTGAGATTCGACTCGTCTCTGAATAACTCCATCGTAATCGAACTGATTTCAAGACGGTCCGTTTCGTTTTCCTCTATCCCAGATTTCTTATTCTTCTCCTCTCGCCGCCACAGTTTTCGAAGGTGAATTTGTGTCCATGTCTTGGAAAGGAGCCCGAGGAAAACCAAAAGGATATGGCGGCGATTATGGCAAGCCTGAGCCTTTTGTGATTTTCCCTGAAATTACGTTACCAGATCCAAAATCAATCTCAACAGACTCGCAATTAGTTCAAAGCTACTTTACTTTCAATAAGTTTTGGAGGAATTCTCCTTATCACTTAGGCGATGGTGGTGTTTCTAAGAAAGGTATCAACTTTATATTTCTGTCTTTGTAATCTCTGCTTAAAGCTAAAAGCTTTTCTTTTTACAATCATCAGAGAAAGAGAGTTTGAACATTGAGAGGTATTCAGACTCGTTGAAGCCGAAGATGAAGTCTAATAAGAATGGATCTTTCTTTGATTTTCTTGTTCTTAGACCTGATAACTTCCCTAAAGAACTTCTTGGAGGTTTGTTTTTGTTTCCACCATCTCAATACTCTTTAGATGTGTTTAGTTTCATCTTGCGGATTATGCGATTTCAGATACTCGAAGAGAACAACGGCCTGTGAAGAGAGCTAAATGGAGTCAAGAAGCTGGTACATTGTGTTTATTATTAGTTTTTGTTTTCAACAATGTAACGAGAAGTTTAAGTTCTGTGTTTTTTGTTTCATAGATTTGCAGAAATTGGATGTGTTTGAGAAGCTTGAAGCTAAGTTTAAGGTAACTAGTGAAACTTTTAACGGTTCAATGGTTTTTTAAGAGCACTTGACAGTAATGTGTTTTGGATTATGTTTGGTTAGGTTGAAGGCAAGGAAGAGAAAGAAGAAGGAGAAGATGATGAAGAAGTTGTGGAATCAGAAGGAGAAGAATCTGATAACGGAGATTATGATCAGGTTTTTGCTTATTTTCCAGATTAATGTTTGAATTGATACCTTGTGTGATTCTTCTTCATCTCAAGTTACTTAGCAACTTTGTTCTTGAATGCTTTTTTGTAGAATCAAGACTTTGATGATGATGACGACGATTATAATAACGAGGATGATGGATGTAAGAATCATCATCTTTATTCTCTGTTTCTTTACTAAGATTGCATCCTTAAAACTTTAAAAAAACTATTCTAACTAACTTTGTTTCTCTCTTTTCTTGCCAGTAGTTGAAGAGGTGTATTAAGCTGCTTCTCCTTTTTCCCCAAACAATCAAGTTTTGCAGTCAAGAGAGGCTTTAGTTTTATTTAAAAACTCTCAAGGTATTTATTTGCTTTGTTCCCTTGGTTCTTATCATATTGGAACCATCCCCTCGAACTGAAGAATATGAAATTCATTTTCAAGCGTACAAATTTCTGTTTGGTTGAAAATCACAGAGCTTTACGTTCTTCACTCAAGAATTTCACTAATCTTCCATAAAGTTAGTAAACCACTGAGCTTTAGTGTTGTACATTTCGCAGAAGATGTCTATTTGATTCGACTAATAATTCAATTTAGACAAATTCTTCAAGCTAATAAAGCAAATCAAACTTTGTCCTCCCAATGCTTTACACTTCTTGTATTGCTGCATTAATTCCAGCTGAAACCATTAAAATCATTCTGGAAGCGTTGTTGCATAGTTTTCATCATGTGTTAAGAACGTAACGCATCTTCACCATTCTTGTTGAATCTTAGTTGTGTATATGTTTCACTGTTGTGATGATCTTCACCAATCTCATTGAATCTTTGAGGTGTATATTATTAACTGTTGTGATACTACCTCCTGTGTTCATGTAATCCAACTTCTATTGTAGCCTGTTATTATTATTGTGTTATCCCATGATATCCACGAGGCTTCATGTTTTTACTTTTACAGAAGTACACAGAATCTTCTTATACAAGAGTTTTATCAATTGATAGTGCAGTTACTACTAATCAAACCCAATTTATATTATCTTCGTCTCTTAAACATCATTCCTTTTGCTACATTTTGTTTCTTGAAACTATTTGGCTAATTCAAGTGAAAGCTTTGGCAAACAATAATGTGTCTTGGTTCCTAATTACAATGATACATATACATTGGCTCCTAATTCCTGTCCAAATCAAAGTAATCTAGAGAAAACTACTAGAGCCTAATCAGAAGATTAAAACAAAACAATAAAACTAAACTTAAAAGAAGCAATTCAGCAGATATTCGAATCTATCCATTGAAGGATATTTGGAATTGAAGGGCAAAAAAGGAGAGAGCTTTTTCACACCCAAAACTGATTCGGATTTTGATATAAGCCTCTGTCTGAACAAGAAGGTGTTCCTATATTTCACCTTCCCGTTATTCGGAGGCTATTCATATACATATCTCTCTATACACTGATTCTTCTGTCTGAAACTTTTTGGGGAAGAAGCTTTGATTTGAATTAAGAAAACACAAAGAAGCTTCTCCACAAAAACCAAAGAAGCCACGAATCAAAACAATACAGAAAAGTATTGAATGATCAGAATTGATTTACGCCTCCTAACTAAGCCAATAAGTATGAAATTGCCTAAATAACTTAGGGTTCATAAAGCTACTCAAGGAGGCGGATTTTATCCCCAAATATCAAAACACAAAACAAAAACGATAGAGATTAACAAAGAGACTTATGAGGAAGATGAGTTACGAAGAAGACAAGAGTGGCGCAACCCTTTTTATGCACTCTGTTTTCTAGGGCTTTTCTTGGGTTGGGTTGTGAATGACTATTTTACCCTCCCTAATTGACTGACTGGTTAATGTAATGTGGTCTGGTTTTCTTAAACCACTCAATCTGTTTTAACCATTGGCTTGAGAAAAAGGCAGAGTAGGATTTGTATGTCAGCAATATTCTTTGTATTACAAAGTTTGTAAGGTTACATGAAATTGTGATTTATCTTGGCTGATGATGTAGTACAAAGTTTGTATGAGTTTGTATTAGCTATGCCTATAAAGCCTGACACTATCTTGTTAAGAAGTCTTTGCAATGCCTGCAGCATTTATGGAGAGACTGTAATGGGTGAAGACATCGGAAAGGCTCTTCTCGAGATAGAACGAGAGTAGGAGAAGCTTTCGGGTTCTGAGTGCGAAGATTATGTCGCTTTATCAAAAGGTAGAGAAGCTGAGGAAGGAGATGAAAGAAAGAAGAATCAAAACACGAGCTGGTTACTCTTTTGTTTAACATAGCTTGTTACAGGTCAGGATTCAAAACACTACTCATTTAGTTTCATCAAGTCATTAATTAACATTACACAACAAATAAACTTGCAGGTCTCGGTTCTGTTAAAAGCTCTGTTATCCCCTGAGGACTCTCTTGTCTTCTTCTTCTTCTTTAAGCACTTGCATCACATCAACATCTACACACAGATAAAGATATTCAGATCCCAATCTTCTTAATCATAACATTGTTATGAACAAAGTCTTCTTACCGTGTAGAATCTTGTCAAACTCGATGTCTCTTGGTCTCTTCTTGGATTTGTGCTCTGTATCACCACCATTAACAGATTGATTATTTTTCCTTGTACCCTGAGTTCCAACAAACTCTTTGCCAGTAATTTCGATTATATCATCGTCGCTGTCGATGATATGAACTGCATCCAGAGGATAGTTGGTCTCGCAAGCCGAAGCATTGAAGATTATTACACGGAAACTCGAATTCTTCTTGTATTCGAACAAGAGAAAGTGGCCTTCCTCGATGGAATGAGCCTCTGCAAACTCACTCCAACCCTCATGGAACCAAATCTCTTCACCGATCCGTTTAAGCTTTATGGAACGCTTATATCCCGCAGGAGTCACTAATGTAACAACCTCTGAGAGTTTAGACCCTTGTAGCTTCACGAACCTTGGCGGAATCCTCTGCTCAAAAGCATAATGAGATTTTCAGAAACAAGTACCAAAATGTCAGATCTTAAATTCTCTACATTTCTTAAGAACAAATTATCAAATTAGTGTATCCCTTTTAGATCTCTAATCCAAGATAAAACAAAAGAAATGAACACTCTTTAGTGAATCTGCAGATATTGAAACAGGAATAACAAACACATGCAAACACTTTATTTCAAGTTTTTCCAAAGTATAAGGTAATTACCATCATCTTATCTTTCATCGTTGAAGGTAAGACCAACTTGAAGAACTTCTTCACCGGCGACTCAGGATCTTGCTGTGATTGGCGGTGAGAGACTGAGGTGACTCTGGCCTTCATGTTTCGGGTTGTAACCATTTTTGTTTGCTGAGAAGAGAAGGAGAAAATTGAGAGTAGAGAGTGATGAGTGGAGTTAACCGAGAAGCAAGATAAGTTTTCTTGTCGTTATGTTAGTAAGATTTTATCTGACGAGTGTGACAAAGTTACTTTAACTCTTTGTACTTTTCCAACACTCTTTTTATACAGTTTCCCTAGTCGAAAGATAAGTCCTACCATTATTGAAGTTTTTTTTTTCTTTTTGGTATACAACCTTCTTTTTTTTTTTTTTTTACTGAACTATTTTCATTATATAATACATGGGTGAAATACAGTTTTGGAATGCGTTTTCGTACAACATAGCCGGCGGAAAATAAAGAAATCCTTGGAAACAAAAGCCCGATACACGGGACCACAAAAAAATATACTAAAGTCAAGAAGATAAGCTCATGAGATCAACATGAAAGTCGGAGGAGAGCAACACTTGCGGAAATAAGAGCTCGAAGATCGCGGACTAGAGAAACTACAACCACAAACAAAGAAGAGCAAAGGATAGAGGAACCCGCGAAAACAAATCCAACTAAAAACGATTATCCCGAACACAGTAAACAACGACGCAAATCTAAATCCTAACCACCTAGTCATCTAACGAACAAGTCTAAATCTAGAACTTTGCATCCCCACTAGAGGTTAGCCTTACAAGAACAGAAAAGTAATAGACCACGAGAGAAAACCTATTTATTAATCTAAATTAGAGGCGGTGGAAGGAGAGACTTAATAGATTCAACGAACAAATATGAGATAATGCGAAAGCTATCCTAAACTAGCCAACACGACCCATCCCCGAAGCTTTCTAGTGATAACAAAGAGCATAACCATGACCCAGCAATTTTAGAAACTAAACCAACAAAGCCTACCAATAACACTACCAAAAGCCAACAAACAAACAACAGCTTAATCCGAGAATGAAAATGACACATAACAAGGGTTGGTCAAAGAACCAAGGAGATGCCGGAAGAGATGAGGAGAGACGAGAGAGCAAAGACCAAAGATACCAACGCAATTGCACAGGAACGACGACGAGGAGAAGTAGATCTAGGAATTGATTTGAAGACCAAACTCTGATGCCACCGGAAAACTCGTCGCACCACTACATCTTCTAGATCCGACTAAACCAACACCACCACTCACAGATCTTGCCCTCCACATGCCTCCAAACTCATCCACGCCAAAAACCTCCTCACACCCCAATCGAGACGTAATAACATCACGGTATCAAGCAGCAACAAAAAAGATGACAAGAGATCAAATCTAAGCGACTCCGGTGCTGTGGAAGCTACCAGAGCCAAAAGCGGCGGCCAAACCTAGTTTTAGTTTCTTAGAGAGAAGTTAGAGAAAAGAGGAGAGAGAGGGGTGTTTGTTTTGTTTTGGTATACAACCTTCTATTTACATATATATTTTCTTAAAGATTTTGGACAACAAAATACTTAAAATAAATAGTATTTAGTTTGTAATCTTTACAAAATCTATCTAAAAAATTGATTTTGAATATGAATAAGCAGAAAGTTTATATGAGACCATTATGGTTGTAAAAACAAAATGGCTTGATTTATCAGGCATTCAAATTACTCCGATTCTTTATTTTAAAAAATTGAATTAATAAAAAAAAATCAAAATATTATAAATATTTAAACTTTATTAAAAGTTAATTATTACAAAATTTTAAGACTTTTAAAAAGTTAAAGTTTATAAAACGTTATTTGAACTTTATAAGAAAATAACAAAAGGATGATTAATTTCACGGAATGTGATTATATGGTGGGATGAGTTTGGATTGATATTAATATGGGATGGAATATAATAGGTGAAATCCTATAATTAACAATCAAAATATAATTATATAATTTTTAAAACTAAACAAACTAAAAATATTAATGAAATAAATATAAGGTATATCATACATAAAAAAAACAATAGGATATATTTATATATCATCTTAAAACCAATAATTCATGTATGTGGTATATCTTTTAATATATTGTTCATATATAAATAATATTAATTAAAATAAAGTCTTTAACTTTCAAACAAAAATATGAATTCGCGGTATTACGCGAATCATTCTCTAGTATAAATTAAAGAAATAACATTTAAATTCGCTTTTATCAATAACCCATGTACAATTAGTTGCTACATGTCATAACAATCAAAGCTTAATTTCTAATAAAGACTAACAACACATATTCCTAATAAACACTGAATAATATATGAGAAATTTGCATTTATAACCAACAAAAATTTAATAATTGAGAAACTAACCTAAGAAAAACTTTGATGTCATATTCTATATATTTTGTATAATAATACTATTTTACCATTTTTCATTGTACGTTTCTTGCCTGATTTTTTCATCTCTCACCTTTCACTTCTTTTGTCCCTTTTTTAATTACAATTTAATTTTTGTTATTACTCTGGTTTGAATATTTTACATGGACATGAAAGAAAAAGAAAACTACACGTTGGCTCCGAATAAAACATGGCCAAGTCACCCTCCGAGTCAACCTCCGTGTCGCTTAGCATCATCACATCCACTAAGCCCGCTCACTAAGCCCGCTCACTAAGCCCGCTCAATCCGGGACTGTTTCTATTTCAAGCCATCAAATTCACTATGTCGTCTTCACCGAGATCCCAATCTGAGATCATCAGTGAAGAAGAAATAGGTATTCTCGGTGCAGCTCTTGCAGCTTCCCGCTCCATCCGACCTTCCGTCATCCGTTCTGTTTCTCCGTCACAGATGATCGCCGGCGGAAGCCCAAAAACTATTCGTTCAATTACTCTCTTTTCCAAGAGGAAACTATTGGCTTGTTCATATATTGAAGAGTCTTATCTACATCAATTTAGAAGAAATCAGTCTTTAGGTGTCACAGATCTCACCGGCAATGTACGTTTGTTTTATATCACAGATCATAGGAAGAAGATATCGAATAGTAGAGACGACATGGACAGCGGCTAATTGTGAGAGATGATTTAGATTTAGTACAATTGTTAGGTTTACTATCTCTTTTTCTCGTGAGATTAATTTGTGATCCACTACTCATCCATTTTATTAATTTTCCATTTCATTGCTCCTATGTTATTTCATAATTTACAAACATATTTTTGGAATCTCATAATTTCATTAATTCCACAAATTAGAACCAAAATTTCATCATAAAATTTATAAAATTTGTTGTTTGGGTTTCTTATATACTATCTTAGGGTTTAGTTTTCTTTAATTAAAAATAATTAAAAATCTTATAGAGATATATAAATTGGAGACGTTATTGACTTTGAATCATCATTA